TTGCCAGTGAAGACTGAGGTAAAGAAGTACTTGCAGGATCAGCATCTAGTCTTTCTATGATTCTGCTCTTATAAATACACAAAGTTTTCTGCAAGGCTGTGGTGAGGTAGAGCCTAGGAGAAAACAATTTTTATTCCATTTTTTTAATGAAAAACCTGTCCACATTTAGACAAAACTGAGATACTTAGATGAATATAATGAATAAATAAACTAGCAGCTTAACAGTAGTGAACAATTTTTGGAGTAGGTCTACTAGGAATATCATTTCATCAGTGCTTCAGTTGGAAAAGTGCTGTTTCCTGATATTCTTTGAGTTTCTCCTGGTCTGCAATCTAGTTGATTACCAGCCTGACCATGTGCATTGTTGCTGTGCAATCTTAAGAGATAAAGCTAAAGTCAGTGTGACTGTGAAAGTGGGTGGAATGGGAAAAATAGAGGGAGATTATTTTAAAAAGAATAAATAAATAAAATAAATAAATGCATGGTATTTTTTCTAAATTTAACTGAAAGACTGTGTCGGTGTTGCTGCTGGAGGTCTGCTCTCTGTCAGTACAGAGATTGGAATCCCAACGTGAGGCGGGAGGGTGTGTAGTGTTCCTGGTCCTCTGGCTTGCACAAGTCATGCGATGGGGCTGAGGCTCTGCTTGCCTCTCCCCTCTATCACAACTCGTTTACAGGTTAGCTAGATACGGTCCAGCCAAGATGGAATGGAAGAGATAAAGATTTCTTTGTAAATAAGTCTCCCCAAGGAAATAACCTGCTGTCTTCATGCTCGTCTTGTAAAGATTGTCTTGTTTGATCAATGTCTTTTAAAACCTAATGTAGATTTTTTTTGTGTGTATTCTTTTTAGATTGGGGCGTATGATCAACAAATATGGGAAAAATCAGTAGAGCAAAGAGAAATAAAGGTAAGAATATTATAGCATTTAAGCTCTTTTCGTTTGGTTGGTTATCAGTGGTGCTGTGTGTGGTTGTGTATGCTGGTGTAATTTACAATGTATGTGGTGGTATTTAATACTGGTAAAGTAAAACCAGACTTCTGGAGTGTAACCAAACGTAACCAGCATATTATACTCTATTTATTTTACATAATTAATAACGCTGCACCATTGAAAGTGCTGCATCTTTCTGTATGTCAGTACATTTTTTTTTTCTTTACAGTTATCATAAGTCAGGGCTTAGTTGTTTTAATACCTCTGTCTCTCACTTTTCTTTGTGATGAATTCTAATGTGAGTTATCTGAGCTCTCTTTACTTTCAGTTAGTTACCTTATACCTGCAGTTTACTTTTCCTCCTTTATGATGCTGTCATTGTTTTGTACAGTTTATTAGACTGGTAAGTACTTCAGGCTTTGTTTCCCTGAACAAGCAGTTTAACAGTGTTCTTTGCATTTTGGTTTAACTAACAGTGCCGTCAATGTCTGCCATGCTGCTTAATTGTTTTGGAGAAAAAGAAATCAATCGTATATGTAATAGTTTTATAGATTGTATATTATGTCATACTCCATGATGTTAAAGTTAATTTAATTAACATTTTCTTGCAATTAACTTATTTTTCTTTAAATACTGCACACAAGAAGTACGCTATTACTGCATGAGTTTCAAGGCATTGCTAATTCTTAGCATTAGTGAACTGTACATTGCTTCAGTTTCCTGGTGGGTGTTTTTTTTTTCCTCCCCTCTACTTAAACAGTTGAACCAAATGTGCTGGGGGGGCTTGTTTGTATTACATGGAAACTATTACTGACCTGAACTACAGAGTTCCCCAATTTCTGTACAAAAATCTACAAATTAACATTGTAGTTGGAGCTGATGGTATTTTTAGAAGTGCTTCTAAACCTGATGCCTGACTCTCGGCGGTGCTGTCAATCCCCGTCTTGCTGACCGCGCAGCCCCCTTCCCCAGCAGCACGGACAGCCGCGAGTCTGTCCCCCTGCTTCAGGAGTCTGATAATAACACATTAATGACGGTGTCTGTATGACTTTGTGTTGGCTGAGTTTAGTGTAATAATGGTAGCACTGGAACAGACTGCTAAGTTCCAGTATTGCACATTAACACCTTAATCTCAAAGCTACTACAGTACTGTTTATAAATGAACCTTACTAAAAATCTAAAAAATTAGTATTTTTTAGTAGAAAATCTGTTTCTGATACTATAAATTTACAGTTTAGTTAGAGCTATAATAGAATCTATTAATTTGAAAATTGCTGCAAAAGAATTTTTACAGTAGCAAGTATTTTTAAGCATTTTTGTTTAAACTTTTATTTTTTGTATTAGTTAGCTGAAATATGTTTGCTGAATAGAAATTATATTAACTAACTGGATGGGCCCAAACAGTATGAAACATTATGGATATATTTTTTTTAATTAACTTTAGTTTGAAACACTGCTGTTCTCCACATAGAACATTTAGAGACTGGAGAAATTGCAATAGAAATTATATTAACTAACTGGATGGGCCCAAACAGTATGAAACATTATGGATATATTTTTTTTAATTAACTTTAGTTTGAAACACTGCTGTTCTCCACATATATTACAGATATTTGTGGTGCATTTAGAGACTGAAGAAATTGCATCTTAAATGGAATTCTTTCACTTCGTGTGGCAAAGAGTAGAAGAACCAATTCAATATAGTCCATGAACACTGGAAGTGTTTGAGATTTGACCAATGGAATTTTTGAAGAATATGTCACCATTTCTTTTTGTATGAAAGATGCATCAAATTATACTGATGACTTTTTTTTTTTCAGAATTCTTTCTTTAAAGTGAAAACGTAATTTTAGCCACAGTGGTAAATTTTGCCTAGGATTGTGCATGTGTTTCCAGGGGGTTATTTTTCTAAGAGGCACATACCTCTTTATTTAGGCTTTCAAGAAAAATCTTGTGGCCCATAAACAGTAATACATTTTAAAATTATTATATAATTCAGCATTTTATTTTTAAGCTTTAGATCTTCTTTGTGAAACAGTGTCTCACTTATGCAAGATTTTGCAAGAATCTATATCTGGTTCTGGAATTATAATAATTTCCAGTTCTAATTACGGGCTTGTTTTCTCATTCCACATAAAATTACTGCAGTTTTAAGACTGCTGTTCTGTAAAAATCTTGCACATTAAGCTCTTTGCAGTGCTTAAGTCTACAATACAACTGGTTTTCTGTATTTTTCATCCACAGAGCACATTTTGTCCTGTCTGTGTTTCAGTTCTATGTACAAATTTTGTTTTCTTTCAAGCAAAATTTAATTTTTCTGACACATCAAGTGATGACTATGTCTAGTTAGTTGTGAAGTGTTTTTTTGGTTTTTTTTTTATTTCAGCATGAAAAATAAATCCAGTTGAATTTAGATGTGAGAAATATTTTGAACTACACTACCTATTTGGACAATTTGCTTGGTACTGTTCTTATGAAGGTTAACGTTACTAGATTTCAGTGATCTTTCATTGATAATAATTTCATTTTTCTGCTTTCATCTGAGTTTAATGTTTATGTTTAAGTAATAAATGTTTTTACATGTGGATGAAATATGACAGTGGTGAAAATCTGCAGTTCACCAGTGAATTTACTGCTTTTTGAATGAAAACAGTTAAACCACTTCCACCATAATTCCATTTCTATGCAAAACATTTTTTGAAATATTATGTTTTACTTTGTATGGATTGCACTCTGTGGAATCATTATTGACTAATGTGGTGAAGATACTAGTCTAAAGGGGTCAGAATAAACTCACAACTGCGTCTGAGGCTTGAGAGTACAGGATCACATAGCATTAAAAACAATCTTGAAAATTTTGCAAAATAGTTTGGCTCTTCAGTGAAGGAAGATGCCATTTCTTTAAGACAAAGTAAGCTTGCTTTTTTTTTTTTTTTTCCCTGCTGCTTTCCTGTTGTGTGGGGGTTTATTCCCCTCCTTTTAACAGGCTAATCTGTATTCACTATTAAGAAAAATTCAATACTTTTCTAGAATTTGGATTTCTGACATTAGACCTTGCTGATTAGTGGCTCCTGCATTACAACACGATTTACTGTCTAGGTCTGGAGCTAAGGAGTTGTAATGTAAGCATTTTGTGAGGTTTAACTAGACATCTAAGGAGAAAAGAGATTCAGGAAAGTTAATTTGTTGCAAGAGTTCTGAACACCTAATATACATGTATTACTAATTCTTGCAAGTGTGTGCATATGCTGTCTGCATAATCCCAAGCCATGGGAGAGGAGTGCTCAGTGCCTTACTATGATTGAAAAGTTACCTAATGGGTCAGTAATTGGTTGGGTTTTGTTTAGATTGTAGAGTGTATAAAAGACATTTATGGTGTCTTGTTCCTTGGAATGTTAATTTTATAGTACTTTAAATCTATGAGGTTGACATATTTGTCTGAATTTCGATAGCAGTGTAGGTTAAATACAATTACTGACCACATAGAAATATTTTCTTTTGTGATGTCTGTCATCTGCATGAATGTATTTTGATAGTATTTGCCTCTTGCAGGGTTTGAGAAACAAACCAAAGAAAACAGGACATGTGAAACCAGACCTCATAGATGTTGATCTTGTAAGAGGTAGGTCCTGAGCTACCTCTTAGTATAAAATTTCTCAGTATAAAAATAACTGCCATCCTGTGTCTTGTAACAAGATTGTATTAATAAGTATTAAAAAAAAAATCAACCTTATGTACCTCTTCTCTAAAGAAGATGAATAGGAAATAGTTAAACGATGACCCTTAAATTAAACTGACGGCTTAATAACTTTATTTATATTTTGTTGTATAGATTTAGATTTTGAAAAAAAGAAACAGGTGGGTTGTCATGTCTCAAAGTTTTGGAGTTGTTAGTTCAAAAAAATCCTTTTGTCCTGCATTCAGAATTCTTCTGAATCTTCTGACATCTAGAAGAAAGGTTATGTTGAAATTTCTGGAGAGCAAAATTGTATAGGCCTTGAATATTTCTTGCCCGTTTTAAATAACAAAACTGCAACAAAGGGTCAGATGATATGAGACTTTTTGAAATGTCTTTATTTAGCCTTAATTTATTTTTATCTTTATTTGGTTTCTCTCATGCCTTGTGAAGGCTAGGGAAAATATTATTTAGCATTTTTTTCCCTGAGCCCAGCAGCCAGCACAGTCTCCTGAATCCGTTCCAGGTCGTGCTCTTTGAGTTCAGTCTCAAATTAACCTGAAGCACCCGGCTGTGCTCTCGTCCTTAGGGCTGCACAGGCACCCTCACACCCAGAGCTGGCCTGGAGAGACCCACGCACCCCCTTGCTCCCAGCCGCTTCACCCCTCACCAGTTAGCCTGCCTTGGCCTTCGCTGGCGCTTGCACGCCTGCGCTCGCTCGGGGTGCTGGCACTGCCGACACATGGCCCCCTGGCTTCGTGCTCTGATGTCTGCCTCCCGGTGCTGGCACTCGACCCCTGTTCGCATGCATGCACACAGAATAGACCACTCCCTGCCCAGGGGAGAGTTAAAGGATTTTAATAAGAAGATCGTGCAGCACTCACCGGGCATGTGGCGGGGCCAGACAGGCAGCGTGCTGAGCAGCAGCTATTTACACATGACCTGTCCTTTTTATCCACTTACCCCACACCTTCCCCACACTCCCTAAATTACCTAAACCTCTCCTGTCTCCCACCCTTGTTTTTTTCTCTAAAGGTCCCACATGAAGTCCTGTGCAATTTGAGCTCCTCCTCCTCTCAATCCCCTAATGAGTCCCATGTCCCTGGGCAGCAACCCCCTTTCCTCTGGAAGGGGATCTGGAGAGCTGCTCCCGATGGCTCATGGTGGTAATTTCACAGCTGGACAAGGGGGCTGATGGCTCTGCTGGGACACAGCCTAGGGAGGGGCCTGGTCAAGGCATTCCTTAGTTTGGATTCCTGCCTGCTCTTGTGCTTCTGTCCTGCTCTGGGCCTGCTTGCTTGGACCTTCCATGGGCTGATGGCTCCAGGGATGGGTCTAGAAGAACCCAGCAGGGTATTATTTGGGCTCCCACTCCTGCTGTTTGCTCTTTGAGCTCCTCTGTGGGTGTGCAGATGACCTTTTATCACATCACCTGATGATATAACTTTTTAAATATGGGAATGTGTGAGAAAGAAACAAGGTGAAATACCATTTGAACTTTAAAGAAACAGAACTGAAAAATAAATGTAGGAATTAAGGAACAGCTGTAGGCCTCTTCAGTATGGTGATATACATGAATAGCATTTAAATGACTGCTCTGCATGGGTGTTTAAGTTGGCATTAACCTAGGTCCAGTACTGGTAGTGTTTTACCTGTGCCAGCACAGAACTCAGAAATGCCAGTTCTGCTTGTCAACAAGGTGGAGATGGCGTAGCAGCACGCGGTAGTTGCCCTTTACAAGCAGTAACCTCGGCATAATTTAAGTCACACCCCCCTTAAGTAAATGTTACACAGTTTTCTAGCTGCCAGAGAAGTGGGCGTTTGCAAGAAAAAGAAACAGAGGTATATGAGAGAGAAAGGACACTTGAATGAGTGAGGTGAAAAAGGGTGTAGAAGGAGAGATAATGATAAATTATTCTTTGGGTGGCTTCCCTGTTCCCCATTGAACAGATAGTCCTCTGCACCTCTCAGCTTCATTGCATTTTCGTGAATGACATGGCTGGAGCAATTCACAGATGTTGATGTTTTAAATCCCTTTGTAGTGTCTGGGAAGGGCTCTGCTGTGTTTGCGCAGGCATGTGGAGTTTCCATATGACTTCCTGTTGCTTCGTATCGAGTTTCTGATACCTCAGTGAAACAGAATAATTTTTAATAATTTGTTTTAAAATAATTTTGACATAGTAAGAAATAGCAGTGTTTTATTATTCACACATTTCAAAATCTAGGTATTTGTAGGAGTTCCTGATAATAGCAGTCAAGAGGGCACCAACAATTTATGCAGATTTTAGATTGAGGAGATAGTGAAATGGTGGAAGTATGAGATTTATTCAAATTATTATGTTTAATCACTGCTACTTTAAATAACTATCTTAACTTCTCTGCTGTTGAACAACAAAAGTTATTATTAGCCATTAGCAATTAAATATATTGAAATTTCTTTTATTTTTTTAAAGGATCTGCTTTTGCTAAAGCAAAACCTGAAAGTCCTTGGACATCTCTGACCCGCAAAGGAATTGTGAGAGTTGTTTTCTTTCCATTCTTCTACAGCTGGTGGCTGCAAGTGACATCAAGAGTCATCTTTTTCTGGCTGCTGGTTCTTTACCTTCTTCAAGGTAGAGTTGGATTAAAGGATCATCTTCAACTGAATGCCTTGTTTTAACCTTATGGAAGCTGCTGTATGTTTCTTGGTTCACTTTATGCTGTTAAGGTTCGTTCCAGTATTTTCTGAAATATTGGAATGACACAGTCTCAAGCATGTATCTTTTGGTTAGTATTTCTTTTACATGTGTAAGGGAGGCATACTAAAAATTTCAGGATTTCCTCACAGGCTCTCTTCAGCATTTAGCACACATTAGTTTCTCATCTCTGTATACAATTTAGGTTTCCAGGACTATCTAATTTAGTTCAGGACTGAGCAATATCAAAGGAACCTTTGGTTTAGGCAGTGTATTTTGTCTTGGCCTTTTGGTCTTTCTGGTACTGGTGCAGATCAAGAGCTCTGATCAAGAAACAAGCAAGGCCAAACCACAAGGTGCATGTTGCTTATGCAGTCTGGTAGGCTGATCTGTTTGTCCAGCTTCCAGTTGTCCTTCCATGTGTTATTTTGTCACATCAGAGGCAGTAAACTTTGGGCTTATACTTTGGTCAGACCTCAGCAGTGCTCCTAAATGACTGGCAGATGGGGTTTACTGTCCTATGTGCTTCTGCTCTTTTTTCCATTGCAATGAGGAGACTATGCATCTTAATTTTATATTTTCTAGATTATAGAAGGACTTTTGAGTGACTGTTAATGAACAGAAGGCAATTCACAGCTTTTGGGATGCTCAGTCTTGAGTTCTAGTAATCTGACTTCGTGCTTCTCTTAATTATATGCAATTTATAAGAGGAAAACTAGAAAGGGAAGAATGTAACATAGTGAATCAGTATCTAACAGTGTGAAAGTCACCAAAAGAATAAGTGTGTCAGAAGCATTTACGACAGAAATGGAACAGAAGGTTAATGAAAGTTGGGAGCAATATAAAAACCCTGAGAAGCTAAATGACTGATAAGTTTTCTGCTGAAATCCAATTAAAATACAATATTACTTTTTCAATTTTGCCATCTGTCCTTGCATTTGTGAATCACTACATCATTTGGAAATTGTATTTAAAACAAGAAATTGAGTTTAAAAAAAAAAAAAGATGACAGGGCCTCTTGTGTGATGGTGTTAGCAGCTATAAAATGAACTTCACAGTGCCAGTGCCCTAAAACTTGAAATATAGACAAATACTCATGTGGTCTCCTGTCAAAACTTCTCCTTATCCCCATTTCTGAGATAGGTGCTTAAGAAGTATTGTTGTGTGTGTTAGCATTTGTGTATTCTATGGGAAGTGATCCTATAGTGTTAATAATTTTAATCCCATTTATAGTAATACAGGTAGTAAAATGCATAAGTTATAGTTCGTTTGTTAACGTGTTCGTAGGTGGCTTATTCTGAGAAACACCATTATAATAATTTTTTATGTTCCCATTCTTAAATTTATTTTAAAAATATACCCATACTTAATTTGTGGAGCCCTCATAAGACTCTAAAAGCAGCAAAACAGTAAGACAATGCAGATTCTGAGTGCAAGCAAGATTTTTTTTTTTTTAAGGACATTGATTACAGAGCTATCTTGTAATTAACTTATTTTCCTTCAGATTTCTTGGGATTTACTAAAGATGTGGTTGGAATGGATCATGTCTGTAATCCATGTAGTCTATAATATGACAAAATACTTTAGACATTTCTGAGGTTGTGAGTTAACAAATAGTGGAAAAGAACTAACAGCATTGCATATTGCACTATAATCCGACTCTTTGAAACAGTTGTCATTTAAATTGTGTTGAATTAACTCTAGAGTTTTGGATGGTTTTTTAAATAAATTGAAAGACTTACAATGTCCGTGGAAATGAAATCAAATTGCAAAATCTTTTATTGGACACTATTTAAAACACCCCCCCTCAAGCCTCTCCTTCTAGCACTGCTATGTAAGTTTTGCTTATATTTTACTCAGAAGGTGTGCTCAGTTATTAATTTTGTACAAAAATAAGGCAGCACCAAAACATCCATAATCTATTACGAAAACTTAACAACAAATCATTTTAAATTCCAGTGGCTGTATTTCTGCCCTGAATATGAATTTTCTGTTGTAGCTTGAAATTTCTGTGATCATTACAGATTATCACTGGCACTGTTGTAAAGTGGTTTGACTTTATTTTGTCTATGTATTTAGTTAAATGATATTGTTTAATTATGAAGTATTTTCTATAGATTTATGAACTGCATTACTTGGAATTATTGCTTTGAAATTGATTAGATTTAGCAGGATACTTGCTAGCATTTATGTAAGTCTACAGAAAAGAATTATTTTCTTGGCTGTAGATTTAAAGTCCAGATTTTATTTGCATTGGTTTCCTTTAGTGTAAAGTATTAGCAAAATGTGTGATAAGAGAACTACAGAGAAATGTTTTTTCCCAAGGTCATGGAACAGGCTGATGAATTAAGGTAGAAGTAAAACCTTTTTCTTCCTGACTCCATATCCATTTAGTTTATAGCATTACCTCATTTTTGCTTTAAAAGTGTTTCTATATTGTAATAGGAAAATTTAGGGTGAAATTACAGTGTGTATCTCTATTGTATGTTTCTTAAGTATGAAACAAGAAACCTTAATAGTGACATAATGATTGTTTATTGTGGTAGGATACATATATATGTATGTATGTGTTTTTAAACTTGGTAATACAAATATTTCAAAGCTTTAACTGCTATAAAAATAAATGTTTGTTGGTCTTTGAAACGTACAGTTGCTTTCTTTGATACAGCTTTTTTCTCTATATGATATAATTTCATTTGTGTCTTTTTCACAAAATAAACCACTGCAATTTAGAAAAGTAGAAGTCCAGATACTATAAATAAGTAAAGAAATAATTAAAAGTGGTGTGAGAAATTCTATTCCAAGACCTCGGTACTGGTAGGAGCAATTCTAGGATAATCTGAACTACAGTGTATTGGCAGACTGTGCAGAAACAAGTTCTTGGATTTCCCTCCAATCCTACTGAAAAGATCAGGAGATTGGTAGTATTTTCTTAAATCTGTGTGAAACTTCATGGTAGGAATGTGCAATTTATGGATTTTTAACTTCTGTAAGGAGATGTTTACTTTTTAATTACTCTGCTTTGCTAAATGTTTTCTAAGTAGCAGAGGAAATCTTATAGTGTTTGAAATTATTTTGTGGAGACCTACCCCTGCAAATCATTTCACATGGATCTGTGGAGCTTTGTGTTCTCAGAAGTATATGTTTATCCAAATTGTATGGTAGAAATCAAAATTCGCTACTTACTTACACTTTATACCTTACGAAGCTAGTTGAAACACAAATACGCTCATTTGAAAGAGGTAATATTATTTGTGCCTTTTACTATCTGTACCTTTTTTGTTTATTTTTTAAGAAGTTGGATTTCTGATTGATGCATACTGTCTTTCTGAGAAATCTCATGGTAAAAACTTAGTCCGCATGTAATAAATGATACCTTATGTCTTCTACGTAAGACTTCTGTGCTTGAATTTGGGAAAAAGACTGATGGAAAATTAGACGTAGATTACCACAATCAAAAATAATTCAATTGTTTTGTACATTCATCATGTTTCTAATACTGGTTATCTTGATAAACGTTATTTAATGAAAAACAGGTCTAATCTCTTTTTAGTGGAAAACATCGCATCCAGGTATCTGCTGTGTTAGGTGTGGCTTCATGTGATATATTTTAGGTGTTTGAATGTGGCACATAAATTTGCATGTGGCTGTATTTTTTTCAATTAATTTTAGTAAAGAACTGATGAAAGCAAACTTGTACTATCTATTTCTTGTGCTAGGAGCAGGTTTAAGTTCTTGTACCACTAAGACTTTCACGTGCTCATGGGATCTGCAGATGTTAAGCACAGAGAATTAGTCCCCTGTTCTGTTTCTGAGTTGTTTCTTGGATTCTGTTTTTTTTCTTGGTAGCTTCTCTCAGCTGAGGTGCAGAACACAGCATTTCAAGCCACAGAGGCAGAGCAACAAGAACATACAATACGCAGAGAAAAGAGAGGGGTTGCCTTTTCCGTCTGCCCCATGCCTGTTCAGTGTGTTTAGATTGACCTGAAGCCTGTAGAGACATTTTGAGGTTGTAGAAGTTGTTGGGCTCTTGGTACAGGAGCAAGATCTGTGTGGGTGTTGGCTTTATATGAAAAGATGGTTATAGAGTTACAAAATTAACAGTTATCTATGGAATTGGAAGCTGCCCCTTTTCCAACCACAAGTGCTAGTTGGAGTCCTGGTCACTTCAGCTGGACTGCTTCGTAGTTTACATGGTTTGTCTTTGATCTTTCCTCATCACTAGACAATATACACACAAGGATATATGAAATGTATGCAGGGTTGCACTTACGCATGTCTGTCCATCCATATGGACAATTTTGTCCTTTGACTAGAATATGGAGTTTAAAATGCATTCTGCTAGAGAATATAAAGAGTTTCTGTCTCAAGTCCGTTGGTCTTTACAGTGTTGAAGTGTGGTTCCACAGAATCACAGGCTAGTTGAGGTTGGCAGGGACCTCTGGAGCTTGTCTAGTCTGAATCCCTGCTCAAAGCAGGGTCAGCTAGAACAGATTACTCAGGGCCGTGTCCAGTCAACATTTGAATATCTCAAGGATGGAGAGACTTCAGCCTGTCTGGACAATGTGCTCTTTGTTTGATGAGTCCTACATTCACCTTCCTTGTTGGATTGTGCTGCATCTTTTTAGGTGATACAGAATTTAATTTATTTGGGTTGCTTTAAGGATGACAGTTGCTTTTTGTTTTTGAGTCCTACTGAAGTTTCACCTTAAACTTGTTTCATGACAGATCTAGCTTCCCAAAGTGTTCCCCCCCGCCCCTTATTTCAGTCTGCTGCCTTTTTTTGAGAAACAGCTGTAATACCACAAGTTTAAAAGAAGAGATGGATGTTAAGACAGTAGGCAACTGTTTAACTCTTTATTATTGCCTATTTCATTGCAATTATAATTCCTTCCTCTCGGAATTACGTGGGTTGGTTTAAAATGAAGGTGGAGGGCTACATCTGACTGTTTCTCTTTTTGACAAAAGCCATATAATGAGTTGGCCGTTTCAGACATTTCAAATGTTGAACTCAACTTAATTTCCCTTCTTTTCCAGTTGCTGCTGTAGTGTTATTCTATACAGCCCAGAGCCCACATAATATACCTCTGACTGAAGTAATTGGGCCAATATGGCTAATGTTGCTACTTGGAACTGTGCATTGTCAGATTGTTTCAACACGAACTCCTAAGCCACCTCCCAGCACAGGGGGTAAAAGAAGAAGGTATCGTCTGTGTTAAAGTACTCTGTTATCATTTAGGATTGTTAAACTATTCTGAAGAACGTGCATGAAAAAATGTAGGGGTTTACAGTATCTGCTTTGCAAGAGATGAGAAATTGGTGTTCTGTTTTTTTATCTGAAACTTTATAATGAGTGCTTAATTGGTGCTCTTTAACTTTTATGCATTTACTAATTTATGCATTGTTTTATTTGAATTTTAATGCATTGAATCTGACATTTTGCCTCAAAACAGTTTGTATCTGAATAGTGGTGGAATGACAGTATTTATATTACTGCAGATTTGGTTTTAGAACTCTGTAATACTGACTAATGATCTCTGTGGGAAACGTACATTAAAGGAGATGCTATTGGAAGCGTAGAACTTATGTCTTCCAACACTTCACTGAGTATGGTTTGCTACAGTAAATTGTCCCATTAAAATGGGAAAGCCTGCAGTAGTGACTTTTGCAGGTCTAAGCCTTTGATGATGAGATTAAATGTATTTTGAGTTTAAGTGTTATGATAATGAATAAGTGTTATGCTTAGTTTTATTAAATGGAGTCTATTAAGTTGACATGATAAAGCTTTAGCAAAATATTTTGAGATGTTTCTTGTTTTTTGCATGCTTAAACTGCTGAACATGTTACAGAAGTAGTAGATTGCACTTATAAAGCTACCTTCCAATTTTAATCTCTTCTGATGAAGGAAATTAAGGAAAGCAGCACATTTGGAAGTACATAGGGAAGGAGATGGCTCTAGTACCACAGATAACACACAGGAGGGAACAGTGCAGAGCTACGGTACAAGCACCTCTTGCAGTATTGGCGCTGTCTTCAGAGATATCTGGCATGCTGCTTTCTTTTTATCAGGGTTTGTATTTATTCAAGGCTACATATGTGTTAGAGATGCACTATCCCTTTTTTAAAAATAAGTAAACATTGATCTAATGATTAAGCTTGTATTGATCCAGCTTTTGTTCTTAATAGTAAACTCATCTCAGTATTTGAACATGTACTAATACATTGTTTCTTGACTTTGTAAATGCTTATGCAATAATTTTGAAAAGATACTGAATTAACTTCTAGTTAAATTATATTTTGATGTAGGAGTACTCTGTGTGGGCTATCAGGAACCAACCAACTCGGTTTCTCAATTTTAATCCAATGAGAAAATTCAACTCTTTAATTTTACTTTATTACATTAGCTGCTTATTACTCTGAGAGAATGCTTATTGAACTGTATCACTGTCATCAAATCACACTTTTTCTGAAGGAAAAGCCTTCAGGATTCAAATAGTCACAGTGTTTAGTTTATAAATGAATACTGAAGATACATTTTTTTAATGACTGGAGGAAACAACTAACCCTGTTATGTTCCAGAGCTGCTTTGCGTATGATCAATCTGCTAATGCAGTGCTCTGGGCAATTAAAAAGGTTTTTAAAAATGCATTCTGTTGCAGTCTGTGTTCAAGATATGCTATACACGCAGCATTGTGAGTGCTATGTATCAGCATTTATTAATAAGAGAAAATACGCTCATAAAATAGTGTGAAATTGAGAAAAGGGATACTGCAAGTTATATTGATGTTTTGTTGTGCATGCTGCATCTTAAATATGGCAACACTAACGTCTGTGAAATGTGCTCTTAACCACTAGTAAAGCTTATCTTATGTTGCATTACGTTCTGGGAATGTCTAGTTGGAACTCTGGAGAAGTTTTGAAGATGTTTAAAACTGTTACAAGAGGAGAGTTCATTTGACTTTCTCCTGTGTAGATTAAGCTGGCTTTGACAAACTGTGAGTCACAGCAATAGACACCACTGCTGTTCTTTGGGTCTGTCTGCATTAACTTCTGGTGTGTTTGGAGTGGAATCTTGTAAACTTCTGAATGTTTTCCATTCATTGAAGATAGTGATCTGCAATGAGGAATGTTGGAAGATTCATGTTTTCTTACCTTCCCTTGTACTGGGCTCAAAGTGTTTTCAGTTGAGAAGGGCTGTGTGGGACTTATTCTAAGGACTTGTTTAAACTATTTAATGAGAGGTAGTGTGTGTGTATATATATATATATAT